GGCTGTGCTGGGCTCGGCTGCCCACTGGCGCAGTACCTTGCCGCGGCCGGCGTGGGCCGCCTTGGTCTTGTGGACTACGACGTCGTGGAAATGAGCAACCTGGCCCGCCAGGTGCTGCATGGCGAGGCCCTGGCCGGCCAGGCCAAGGTCTTCTCGGCTGCCGCCTCGCTGCGCCGGCTCAACTCAGCCGTGGAGTGCGTGCCTTATGCTCAGGCTCTCACTCCAGCCACGGCCCTCGACCTCGTGCGCCGTTACGACGTGGTGGCTGACTGCTCCGACAACGTGCCCACTCGCTACCTGGTTAGCGACGCGTGTGTGCTGGCTGGCCGGCCTCTGGTATCCGCCAGCGCCCTGCGCTTTGAGGGCCAAATCACCGTCTACCACTACGACGGCGGGCCTTGCTACCGCTGCCTGTTCCCCCAGCCACCTCCCGCGGAGACGGTGACCAGCTGCGCGGATGGCGGGGTGCTCGGTGTTGTAACGGGGATCCTGGGCTGCCTGCAGGCGCTGGAAGTGTTGAAGATCGCCGCAGGTATGGGCCCCTCTTACAGCGGCAGCCTGTTGCTCTTCGACGCTCTCGGAGGACATTTCCGCTGCATTCGGCTGCGGAGCCGCAGGCCGGATTGTGCAGCTTGCGGAGAGCGGCCCACGGTGACCGACCTGCAGGACTATGAAGCCTTCTGTGGCTCCTCGGCCACGGATAAATGCCGCTCCCTTCGGTTGCTGAGCCCGGAGGAGCGCGTTTCGGTCAGCGACTATAAGCGCCTTCTGGATTCTGGGTCACCCCACCTGTTGCTGGACGTCAGGCCTCAAGTGGAGGTGGACATCTGTCGTTTGCCTCATGCTCTGCACATCCCTTTGAAGCATTTGGAACGGAGGGATGGGAAGAGCCTGAAACTCTTGGGAGAAGCAATCCAGGAAGGGAAGCGAGGCGCGCAGGAGGGAGCAGCTCTCCCCATCTATGTGATTTGCAAACTGGGCAACGACTCCCAGAAAGCCGTGAAGATCCTGCAGTCCTTGACAGCAATCCCAGAGTTAGGCTCGCTAGCAGTTCAGGATGTGGTGGGGGGGCTCATGGCCTGGGCTGCCAAGATCGATGAGACATTTCCGCAGTACTGAGGTGGCTGATATGTATATATATACATAGTCTGACCTGAGAAAAATGTGCGTTACCATGTTAACCTTAAAGATACATTTATTTCCATTTTTCTCAGTAATGTACAAAGACTGGATTCTGCACCTGTGAATGCATAGATTTCTTTTTATAAGGGGATTTTTAATGGTAATTTATTGAATGATACAGTTGTTGAGGGCCTATAAAACTGTTTCTGAGCACTGTCTTGTATTTTCAATACTTGGAGGGTGTCTTGGACAGGTGAGGTATATTATAAGTGACAGGAGTTTGTGTTTTCTTTCTTTTTTTTAAATATATATTTTATTGATTTTCTACAGAGAGGAAGGGAGAGAGATAGAGAGTTAGAAACATCCATCAGCCGCCTCCTGCACATCTCCTACTGGGGATGTGCCCGCAACCCAGGTACATGCCCTTGACCGGAATCAAACCCGGGATCCTTCAGTCCGCAGGCCGCCGCGCTACCCACCGAGCCAAACCGGTTTTGGCAGGAGTTTGTGTTTTAATTTGCAGATCATTTGCCTGTCTTCCTTTTTTCCCACCTCCCCCAAAAGACTCTCTAAATGGTCTATTTTAGGCCCAGAATTAAGTTGTTGTAAACTTAGTCCTACCGAATTGATTGCAGATGATATACATAAGATCAGTTTATTGTTTATGAAAGGCATTCTTTGGGTCTTATTTCTACTTCAAATGATAGAATATATCCTACAGAACTAAGTGTTAAGGTGAAAATTGTCTTAATTATCTGGAAAGTGATCATTACATATTTTGAATTCATATAAAAGTGAAGTATTTACAGGTTAGCAAGAAAAAGGAAACCACCTTCACAGTATGTCAGTTTCTCTTATAAGTTGCTGATTTTTTTCGTAAAGTTAACTTCAGGGCCCACCCTATGTTGTACACATAACATTTTATAAACTGTATACTATCGTTTGGCTTGCTTTGGATTCTTCAGGTCCACGTTCCGAACCTCTGCCCTTTCCCATCCAGTCTGTTATATTTATTGTTGGCTTCACTGTATAGTCAGGACCCCAAATACAACACTGAGTTAAGGTGGAATGGTGAACATTCTTATCTCAGGCTCAGGTGAAAGACTGATGATTTGATCAGTATTGCTTATTATTGCTTTACTATAAATACCCTTCATCAAATTAATGACATTTTTTCTGTTTATAGTTTGCTAAGAGTTTTGACTGAATTTATCAAATGCATTTATTAAGAGTATGTTTAACTTTTTTCTCCTGTTCCTATAATGAATATTGATATTTTTATTGTAGAAAAAAATATAAAAATAACCCTCCCAGCAGTTTCCAATAGTATGGTCAACCACCTGCACATGCTTGCAACAGATCCCAGAATCCTCCCACTCCTGCATGGCTAGAACTTTGCACTCACCAAAGAATTCCCCCTTTCCCCTTTTACTTGCCTTTTCTATCTTGATTTAGCTTGTTTTATTCCAGCATTTTATAGTAGTGCAAAATGTGTTTCTGTTTTTTAAAGAACATTTCCATGAAATGGCAGGTACTCTGCCCAATTTCCAATATCTACAACGAAACTAAAAGTGAACATTTGGTATGTGAGTATATATTAGTGGCAAATTGGAGAGGAAATGCCTTGTCAAAGGGGGCCCCTACTCTCCAACTGACTCTGGCATATAAGCCTACCTGTAATCAGAATTCATAGTCATGAATGTGAAATCTGTCTCTGGCTACAAATGTTTTAAAAAATGAAAAAGCATTGCAGGCAGACAAAACCCTCTGTGTGTCAGATTTACTTAACAGTTTGCAACCTTTGATAGGGACTCTTGTCTTATTATAAAAAAGGATGGCATTTAACAGTCAAATTCAAAATGAGGATAGTCATCACTTTTTAACTGAAACATTGAAGCTCATTTTTTGAATAAGGGGTTAAAGTATAATAGGCCATTTTATGTTATAAAGATGGAGCAGGTTTCTTATAACTGCTTCTCCCAAGGAGTTGTGGAAATAAATGAGAGATGAGGAGAGGAAAACAAAGATCTCTGGGCCTGTGTCTTAACTTCTTATTCCCAGGACCAAAGCTGATTCTGATACATATCAGGAAACAATCAAGTGAGCAGAGATAGAAACTGATGTCTTAAAGTTAGGCAGTTTTGGTAGTTCCCGCAAACCTGATTGTCATTGGAGACAGACCCACAGCTGTACTTATAGGAGCCATGCCAAAGACCATGCACAGAACTGGCCTGAGAATGCTGTCTGTGCTCTGCTGTCCCATGTAGCACTAGAGGAAACTTCCAGCAGAGCATCACCGATCTCACTTGACCTGGCCCCACTCCTCTCCCACAAAGCCCAATACCATCCAGCCCAGGAAGCAGGAAGCAGAGTGGCTTTATACTGTACTAGATGCCTGGTGCACAAAATTCATGCACTGGGAGTGGGGAGATCCCTCAGCCCAGCCTGCACCATCTCGCAGTCGAGGACCCCTTGGGGGATGTCTGCCTGCAGGTTAAGCCCGCTCCCCGTGGGAATAGGACCTCAGCCAGCAGTTGAACATCCCTCTCGCAGTCCAGGAGCCCTCGCTCCTTACCGCCCACCTGTTCACTGCTTGCCAGCCGTGAGCCTGGCTTCTGGCTGAGTGGCACTCCCCCTGTGGGAGTGCACTGACCACTAGGGTGCAGCTCCTGCATTGAACGTCTGCCCCCTGGTTGTCAGTGTGCATCATAGTGACAGGTCATTGTGGTCGTTCTGCTATAATGGTCGCTTAGGCTTTTATTATATAGATCGCTCTTTTCTGAGTCTTATGAGGATGTGTCTGGTAGTTAGAGCCCAATGACATGCCTACATACTAGCAGCAAGAGTTCTGGAAATTTGAGTTCTTTTGTCTACAACAGGGAGGCAGAACTCATAATCTGGGATTTTCTCAAGTTAGTGAAAGATTTTTCAAAAGATGGGTTGTTAGAAACATAAAAGTATCCACTTATGGGACCCAGCTCTTTTTATTCTTTGAAATCCTGTTTTCTCTGGGGATTGTGGCTAGGTTTTTACATTTGGATGGGATTTGAACTTAATTTTTTTCCTTTTCATTTAAGTGCCTTAAGTGTACCAGTCATCATTCTAGTTCTAGGATAAAGATGAACAAGAGATTTCCTGTTGTCATGGAGTTTACGTTTAAATGGGGGAGACAAATCAAGTAAATTATTGATAAGTGCCATAAAATAAATCAAAATGTGATGTATCGGGGAAGGAGGAGCTATTTTGGATAGGTTAATTAGGGCTGATGTTAAACCCAAAACCTGAATGGTGAGGAGTCAGATCTGGGAGAACATTTCTTACTGGGAGTACAAAGACCCTTAAGCAAATAAACTTAGAACGATCAAGAAACTGAAGAGGCAAATTGGATTGTGAACAATTGGGGAGAGTAAAGATGAGGTTTGAGATACAGAATATATCATGTAGGTTGTCAACCATAATAGGAATTTGGTGTTTATTCCAAGTAAAATAACAGCCAGCATTTATTGAGCACTTACTATGTGATTTGGAACTTGAATCCAGATGGTCTGGTTGAAGAGTTGTGTCGCGCCAGCATGGCCAAGGGTGAACCTGAGGAGGGGCAGTGAAGGATTGAAGAAAAGACAGACAAGAGAATTCAGCTGGGGCTCCGCGGGTCTCCCGTGCCTGGATGAGGACACAGAAGACCCAGCCTGCAAGCTGAAGCTTCATTTTATAGTCTGATTAAAACAAGGGTAGATTCACATGTATACACAAATGTTCTTGTTTTGGCAACGCTTGGTGCACCTCCCACAGCCCATTAGCTACTTAGGAAGGAATTAGGGAGGGCTATGAGGTCAGGCTTGATTATGCTAGGAGAGCTCTGCCCTCCTGGCTGGGACTTGTTTGTGGCCCGGCCACAGGTCAGCCCCAGGCTTGACCCTAGAGCTGCTCCCTACAAAGAGTCAGCAGGTGCCCTAAGCATTATGCTGACTATACTGACTCTCACTGAAAACTTGTTGTTTTGTATGTTTTCATCATTGGAAAACTACGCCCTGATCATCACAGAGTGGAGAGAGCTTGTATTTCAGATGGATAGAAATGTACGCTGATGCACTTGGTTTGCAGACTTCTCTCCAACACCCATGTGTCACATAGGTAATGTCCAGTTACCAATGAATCACTTTGGTCAAGGAAAGCGAGAACGTCTCAACATAAAGCATCACTGCTGGTAACTAGAAGGGTTGCCAAGGAGGGGGATAGTCAAAAAAGGGCTCTATGTCTGATAGTCCCTGTCCAAGGGGCTATGCCAATGCATACTACCATGCCCAAGAAAGGCCATTTCCCAACAGCTTAGCATAGTCTTTGAACTTTTAGATCTTTGCCATTCTGATGTTTTTTTAAAAGTCTCATTGTGTTAATTTACCTTTTCATAAGTTTGAGCAGTTTTTCATAGCTTAAAAATCTTTTCAAATAAAAAATATTTATTTTTAGCTCATTTTTTCTATGAGCTCTCATTCTTATTGATTTATTTAAGAAAGACCACTTGCAGGGGAGCGGGGGGAAGAGTGGAATCTGCATTCTGTAGCAAGGGAGTTTTGAATTCGTTCATTCTTCAGACACTTATTGAAAGTCCACTACAGATGTACCAGGCATTGGCCAAGTTCTGAGGAGACAAGATAATTGGGATTGTGGAGCTTGCCTGTCAGGTGTTCATAGCTCATTTTACAACGTTTTACATGTAATTTCCAGAGCCTTTCCCACCTACATGATTTCATTTAATCCTTCAACAACTCTGAGATCAAGGGAACTATCTTTGTTCACAGGCTCCTCTTCTATGTCCTTACCAACAATAGACTTCCCTGAAATAGCCTAGTTGGGAGGGAGCCTTGTGCTCAAAGTGGAATCCTTCTGTCACTAATGAGGTCGGGCCCTCTTGTCCTTGTGGAACATTCTAGAAAGGATTCTATTGTAGACGGGGTGAATTTTTCAACTGTTCCCAAGTATTCCATGGGTCCTGATGGTCATCAGAAAACCTTTTTCTTCGGAGCCACGGTGAGACATTGTGAGCACAATGAATTGCCACTATAATGAGGCTTGGATCCTGTTGGTCCATTGTTGATGGTCTCCGATGGGGTCAGACTCACTTGTGTATGGCCTTTGGTCTTTTTTTAGAATAGATGGTTGGAGGCAGGACACTTGGGACACCTATATCTTTAGCTAAATGCAGATATTTCTGACATACATTCTTTATTCCCAATGTATATACTGTTTAAAATTCTCTGTATACATATTTATGATATAACTAAAGGCTCAGTGCACGAATTCGTACAAGGGTGGGGTACAGCCCAGGGGAGGGGCCCTGGGTGGTTGGCAGGCGGCCCCACCCTCTGGTCAAACTCTGGTCGAACTCCCAGTCCAGGGGACAATTTGCATATTACCCTTTTATTACATAGGATTTTACACATGAGTTTCCCAATTTGAAAACAAGTATATCATGGGTGCTGGTTTTCCTTAGTTGAATTTCTGAAAGCCAGGTGGCTTTAGCACTTACCACTTTTCCAAGCCCCAGGCTATTTTGAAGTTTGGGTATTAGAAACTCTCACATGTAATAAAATGGTGTAAAAAGGAAAGTTGAACAGAGGACTCAGGATACAGTGCCCTTGGATGAGAGGAAGGAGAGGATGGGGATGGGAACCCTGTGGTTAGATGCACGTTATTGTCACACCCATGGTGCTGAGCTTGTTTGGTGGTGAACTTGTGGCTAATATTCATTTGGTTAGGCATCATCCCGATACACCAAGGATGCAGGTTCAATTCCCCATCAGGGCACATGTAAGAATCAACCAGTGAGTACATAAATAAGTTGAGCAATAAATCGATGTTTCCCTCGCTTCCTCTCCCTCTCTCTCAAATCAATTTTTAAAATTTATTTAAAAAAATAAGTAGAGCAGATCATGCTTGGCCAATAAAGAGAATATGTCACAAATCATTATGGTTAATCCAATTATGTGTACCTGAAATTCAAATAAAAAGAGAAAAGAGCCCTAGCTGATTTGGTTCAGTGGATAGAGCATCAGCCTGCGGACTGAAGGGTACTGGGTTCTATTCCGGTGAAGGGCACATGCCTGCGTTATGGGCTTGAACCCCAGTGGGGGAGTGCGGGAGGCAGCCGAGCGATGATTTTCT